GAAGGACTTTCTTTTCTGGAGCCGGGACTTTTGTAGTTACCCCTCCCCTCCCCCCCCCGCCAGCCACCAAAGACTTGACCACGTAACGAGCCCAACTCCCCCGAACGCCGCCCGCCGCTCGCCATGGATGCCGGTGTGACTGAAAGTGGACTAAATGTGACTCTCACCATTCGGCTGCTTATGCACGGAAAGGAAGTGGGCAGCATCATCGGGAAGAAAGGGGAGTCGGTTAAGAGGATCCGCGAGGAGAGTGGCGCGCGGATCAACATCTCGGAGGGGAATTGCCCGGAGAGAATCATCACTCTGACCGGCCCCACCAATGCCATCTTTAAGGCCTTCGCTATGATCATCGATAAGCTGGAGGAAGATATCAACAGCTCCATGACCAACAGCACGGCGGCCAGCCGGCCCCCGGTCACCCTGCGGCTGGTGGTGCCGGCCACCCAGTGCGGCTCCCTGATTGGGAAAGGCGGCTGTAAGATCAAAGAGATCCGCGAGAGCACCGGGGCCCAAGTCCAGGTGGCGGGGGATATGCTGCCCAACTCCACCGAGCGGGCCATCACCATCGCTGGCGTGCCGCAGTCCGTCACCGAGTGTGTCAAGCAGATCTGCCTGGTCATGCTGGAGACGCTCTCCCAGTCTCCGCAAGGGAGAGTCATGACCATTCCGTACCAGCCCATGCCGGCCAGCTCTCCGGTCATCTGCGCGGGCGGCCAAGATCGGTGCAGCGACGCTGCGGGCTACCCGCACGCCACCCATGACCTGGAGGGACCACCGCTAGACGCCTACTCGATTCAAGGACAACACACCATTTCTCCGCTCGATCTGGCCAAGCTGAACCAGGTGGCAAGACAACAGTCCCACTTTGCCATGATGCACGGCGGGACCGGATTCGCCGGAATTGACTCCAGCTCTCCGGAGGTGAAAGGCTATTGGGCAAGTTTGGATGCATCTACTCAAACCACCCATGAACTCACCATTCCAAATAACTTAATTGGCTGCATCATCGGGCGCCAGGGCGCCAACATTAATGAGATCCGCCAGATGTCCGGGGCCCAGATCAAAATTGCCAACCCAGTGGAAGGCTCCTCTGGTAGGCAGGTTACTATCACTGGTTCTGCTGCCAGTATTAGTCTGGCCCAATATCTAATCAATGCCAGGCTTTCCTCTGAGAAGGGCATGGGGTGCAGCTAGAACGGTGTAGGTCCACTCATAACCTCTTTCTGCTGTTTTTCCCATGATCCAAATGTGTAATTTCTGGTCAGTGATTCCAGGTTTTAAATAATTTGTAAGTGTTCAGTTTCTACACAACTTTATCATCCGCTAAGAATTTAAAAATCACATTCTCTGTTCAGCTGTTAATGCTGGGATCCATATTTAGTTTTATAAGCTTTTCCCTGTTTTTAGTTTTGTTTTTGGGTTTTTGGCTCATGAATTTTATTTCTGTTTGTCAAAAAGAAATGTAAGAGTGGAATGTTAAGAAATTTCAGTTTAGTTCTGTAATGTCAAGAATTTAAAAATTAAAAAGTGGATTGGTTAAAAAAAATAATGCTTCATATTTGAAAAAGCTGGGAACTGCGATCTTAAACTCTTTGTTGGTGCATTTTTTCCCCCTTCCCTTTTAGTGTTAGGCATTTGCAGGGAGAAACGTGGGCCCGTCCTCGGTATTCTCTCAAGCCCTTTGCATCTCATTGGTAAGATTCCATTTCCTCTCCGTCCCAACAAAGGAACACTGCAGGTTGGGCCTGCTTTGGGATATTTGCCGAGACATAGGGTCTCGCTGGGAGAGTAACATCCCTCCCTCCACCCAAGTTCCAGAGAGGCCTCTGCCCATTTCTCTGATAGAAAACGTGCTTTCTCGGATGGAAAAGTATGCCCACTCGTTAGGACCTCTGAATGGCCCTGTGTCCTCTGGCCTAACCAGCCCCCATCCCCACCCCCAATCTCACTGGAAAACTCTTAGCCAGGAACAAAAAAATGTTCTGAGGTGGGAGGAGCCCCAGGGGACCCGGGGAGGGGGGGCTGGGGAGGAAGGGAGAGGCTGAGGTGGGGGGAAGGGAAGGGAAGGGGGCAAGGGTGGGTTTGAGGGTTGGAAGGGCATTTGCTAGAGGGTGGTTGGCGGTAGGGATAGAAGGGTCTTGGTTGGGCTGCAGGACTGAATGAATGGGGGATGGTACCAGTGGGGCACACGTGGCAAGCAGGCACCTGTGGCAAGCAGCCTGTCAGAGGATGTTATTACACCTGCCAAGTGGCGTATCCAGAAACAAAAGAGGCCTAGCTCCTAATTCTTCAGCTGTGTGCAATATTTAGAGAAATCATTGTACCGGGAAATAATCCTGCCTAAATGGGGCAGTCTCGAAGGCAGGAATGTAGACTGAGCCATTGGCTAAGTCCTAAGAATGACCTCGGTGTTAAACATGTGGATTCTTGGTTCCTGCCCCAAATTTAGGCTGCATTTTTAAAACTCCAAAAGGTTCTTAGATTTGAGAACCACTGATTCTCTTCACCAGTGAATTAGGAAAATCCTGCTGTGAAGGCTCATATCCACATCAGCCGGTGGGACCAGGCTGGACCCGATGAGAGAAGGAAAATGATCATTAGGCAAAGATACACTAGAAACAACACTACAAGACAGTAGACGATTAAGTGCCAAATTGTAGCTCAAACCCCAGGCACTGTGGGAGATCACTAACATGAAGAATAATTCTGATGGGAGGAGAACTTTATCCATGATAAGTATATGTTGAGACTTACTCTCTACAGGGCATCGGCTCCTTTTTTCCTGAGGTACAGACCTGGTTCTGAGAGTCCCTGGAGGTAAGATTGGGGTCTTCCATATGCTTCACATCCTCTCTGGGGTCCGGCACACAGTCATTGAAAGAAGCCCAGGTTCTGGAGTTAAACCTGAGTTCAAATTTTGAGTTCTGCTACTTGTGGCCTTGGGCAAATTATTCCACCTCAGTATAAAATGGTAAAAGTACTCATCTGGGCTTGTGGGAAAAAGAAAATAAGAGCATGTATTTAAAGCAAAAGAGCACTCACAACACAGTAAACTTATATATGCTTTAGATTGCAGAAAGCCCACTTCTGCCCACAACATATTTGGGCACAGAAGAAAGATTAAAAGGTAGGGAAAAAAGCAATGTATACTAAATAAGCTAAGACAATTGGGCTGAGGGGCCAAGACAAGTAAAGGAGTCCCTACTGAAGACCCAGAAATGGGTTAAGTGTCTCCTGAAAATAATATACACAAATTAAGTTTGCATAAGGTAAGGAAGGAATGGATCATTAGGCTGGTCCCTCAAACACCAAGGCAAGTCATTTGTGAGGAGTCCCTGAAACTTGCTGGGTTAACGGATTTGATTGAACATCTATGTACAAAATGAATTATAACTTGATGCTTTGGTACAATTGGAAGATATATAGCAGCTCATTGTAGTTAGAGTATGGTAGGTGGTAAATGGAGGGAGAGGAGGTGGAGGAAGCCATTAAATCATTTGAGGCTAAATTATAAACAGCCTTGAGTGCCAAAATAAAGGGTTTGAGCTTTATCCTAAAACCTAGTGATCTCCAAACATTTTCTTTAAATGTACCCCTTCAGTAACAAGTCTTCAACATATATCCTTAGTACATATTTGAGTACTTATAAATTACATATATGTATACTAGTCATGCTTATTTATAAACCATATACAAACATTACATGAAAATATATCAGAAAAACACAAAAACTTAAGTGTAAATAGTTAAGGTAAAAAACAAATTGAAGCCCAGCTGGCATGGCTCAGTGTTGAGCGTCAGCCTATGAACCAGGAGGTCATGGTTTGATTCCTGGTCAGGCCACATGCCCAGGTTGCGGACTCGGTCCCCAGTGCAGGGGGAGGATGCAGGAGGCAGCTGATCAATGATTCTCATCATTGATGTTTCCATCTCTCCCTCTCCCTTCCTCTCTAAAATCAATAAAAATATATTTTATATATACATATATATTTTTTAAAACACAAACAAATTGAAATCTAATTTCTAATAGTTCTTTTTACCCCTTCCCGCTGGTCATTTTAGAGACCACTTGAAGGGAATACTGGGGAAAACAATTTCAATGTCATAGGTATCCTTGGGGAGTAGAATTTCAGAAGAGTGATGGGGAAGCCAAATTGTACCAAGACAGAAGGCACTGGGGTGAGGCAGTGGAGACAGGAGTGTAGCTGGCTCAAAACTTGGTGGTGCAAAGGAAAGAAAGAAATAGGACAACCTGAGGGGGAAGAATTGGAGAAATGGGGTCTGGGGGTTTTT